GGGGGGGGTCTGAATGAGTGACTCCTCACTCTTCCAGCCCTGCCATGCCGTGTTTTGTGGGCGTCCTGGGCTCTGGACTCCTAAGAAGCCTTGTCCTGGCCAGTGTTGCTCAATGGTTAGAGTGCTGGCCTACGCACTGGAGGGTTGCAGGTTTGATTCACAGTCAAGGGCATGTACCTGGGTTGCAGGTTCTATCCCCAGCCCTGGTCAGCACATGCAGGAGGCAACTAATTAATCCATGTGTCTCACATCTCTGTGTGTGTGTGTGTCTCTCTCCCCCTCCCTCCCTCCGTTTATACTCTCTCTAAAAAATCCATGGAAAAAATATCCTCGAGTAAGTGAGGGTTAACAAAACAAAACAAGCAAACAAAACCCAAAAGCATTAAACTCTTCCCTGGAAACTCCAGATTTGGGGGCGGGGCCATATGGAGGCCAGAAAAAGACTTGCAGCTCAGGGATTCACCTCTGAGCCCAGGGCATTTGGATGAGGGAGTGAGGAATGAAGGAATGGGGGTGCGGAGGTGGAGAACCCATCACCCGATTCCTACATGCCTCTGGACTCTGGGATATTCTTTATATCCCAGGCTTAACCAAGCCCCACCAGAGCCTATGAGGGGGGAGGCAGGGTTCGTCAGTTCCGTTGTACAGATGAGGAAGCTGAGGCCAGTGGAAGTTCTACCCAAGGTCAGTAGCTAATGGGCAGCTGAGCTGGAGCTCTTCCGTCCAGGCATCCTGCCGGCCCCCTGGTGGCAGGCCGCCTGACCCAGCCTTGGTCAACAGCCTGCCTTGGTCCCCGGAATTGTTCTCCCCAGGGATCCACAGCAGTGCTTCTTGAGGTCCAAGACTTTCCAACCCCTGGGGGGACAGAGGGCAGGTAGGTGCATGGGCAGGGAAACTATGTTTCTTCCTCAGCAGAGGAAAATATAGGATGAATTTTTTCAAGGTCACCTAGACGCTGAGCTGTGGGCGTGGGAATTTCTATTGATTTGCATTGATAATAGCAACTTATTGGGTATCAAAAGATTCCAGATGTTGTCACACACACTAAACCATTGAATCCTCAGCAACTCTGCATGGTAAGTGTTCTCAGTCTCATTTTAGAGAGGGGGAAATGGGGCTAAGGGAAAATCACCAACCTTCCCAGGAGCTCACCATGCCCTTGTCCTGGTCTAAGTGTGTAGCAAGTCACTTAATCCTCACAGCAACCTCTCCATGGAGTAATAACCAACACTATCCCCATTTTACAGAGCAGGAAACTGAGTGAAAGATTGAGTATTGATCAAGGCCACACAGCCCATAGGTAGAGAAGCCAGGATTCAAACCCAGGCCAGCCATCTAGGCCCAGAGCCCACACACCCACCCGTCATGCTGGAACTGAGGTCACCAAGTTACAAATGACAAAGCTGAGATTCGAGCCCAGACCTGGGGATTGGAAACTGTTGACACTTGTCCCAAGCCGTGTTCCTGACCATCGTCAGCCACTTTATTCATCCCACCTCCCAGGGCCCTGGAGTTAGAGAATTGAACTTGAAGCTGGAAGGACCTTGAGGTCAGTCTTCCTCCGAGTGGACGGGCCACAGTAACAAAATACCACAGACGGGGACTTAAACGACAGATGTTTACTTCTTACAGTTCTGAGGCTGGAAGTCCGAGCTCATGGTGGCAGCGTGGTCTGGTCTGATTTGTAGACGCCCTCTTCTCACTGTGCTCACGTGGCGGGGAGAGGACACAAGCTCTCTGAAGTCTCTTCTAAGGACACTAATCCCTTCAGGGAGGCCTCGCCCTCTTGACCTCATTTAATCTGGTTACCTTCCAAGGCCGCATTGCTAAATACCGTCACACTGGGGGTTAGGACCTCAACACATGAATTTTAGGGGAGTACGGTTCAGCCCATAGCAAGGTTATATGATTGTTTCGTCTTTCTGGTGAGGACACTGAGTCACCCGGTGAGGAGGGCGGGCAGGCCCAGCCATCCGGACTTGTGCTGTGTCCAAAGGCTGCCTGTCCTGGGCCCCACTCACCTCTCCCTCTCTCTTCCCCTTGCAGACGGAGCCTGTGGCTGGTGAGGCCGCTGAGCAGGGCCAGGCCGGGCCCTGCCCACGAGGACGCCTAAGCCCTTCACCGGCCCCCATGCCCAGGAGCCCACCAGGCTCTCCTGCTGGCCCCGCCATGACTTCGGAGCCCACATCCTCCCCGGTCGTGCCCCCCCTCCACTCCCCCAAGTCCCCGGTCTGGCCCACATTCCCCTTCCAGCGGGAGGGCAGCAGGGTCTGGGAGCGGGGCGGTGTCTCATCGCGGGACCTGCCCAGTCCCCTGCCCACCAAACGGACCAGGACGTATTCAGCGTGAGTATGTGCCCCTCGCCCAGGCTTTAGCCCCACCCTTCAGCCCCTGTTGTTCTTTCCCAAGGACAGGAGAGCTGTGTATAAACTCTCCAGTAACTGCCAGTGTTCATCCGTTCACTCATTCATTCATTCATTCATTCATTCATTCATTCATTCACTTTATCCCACGAAGATTGATTGAGCTCCTGACCAGGGGATCTGGTGATGGATTAGACGAAGTCTCAGGCCACAAGCTGCATACAATTCAGAGGGAACTTGCGCACACTCACCCCTCGGGCAGGGTTGGGAGTGGGGACCCAGCAGCAGGCACTAGGTCTTAGCTGGCTTTGGAAGATGCATCAGGTGAAAGATGAAGATGGACAGTGGAACAGTTCAGGCAAAGCGGAGGCGTGCGCTTGACCTTTGGAGTAGGGTGGGCCTTCGGGGACAGCCGTGGGTGGGGGCTTTGTGGCATCCACAGGGAGACTGACTTGGCTTGGCCAAAGGAGATTTTTGATGGCAAGGGCTGAGTGAACCTTGTGTCCGAGCCAAGGCCAGGCACAGAGCAGGTGCTTAATAAACGATAAAGAAGGGATGAGTGACGCATGAGTGAGTAGGGTGCCACTGCTTCAGGAGATGGCAGGAGGGGAGGGTGCTGTGCAGGAAGAGGGCACTGGCTAGGAGTCCAGACCCATTTGCTGTGTGCCCTGGGAGAGCCAGTTTCCCTCTCTGGGCCTCAGGCTCCTTTTCTGTCAGTGGGATGATGAAAGGACTGAATTAGCACAACTGCAGGGGACGGTTTACGGAGGCAGGGTCCACAGGCCAGGCGGCTGGAGGCTGTGGGGTGTGGGAGGGGAGTCCCTAGGCCATAGCTCCAATCCCCCTACCCTATCCTTAGGACAGCCCGTGCCTCAGCTGGCCCCGTGTTCAAGGGTGTCTGCAAGCAGTTCTCACGCTCACAAGGCCACGGCTTCATCACCCCCGAGAATGGATCAGAGGACATCTTTGTGCACGTATCTGAGTGAGTCTAATCCCCAGCCCCATCTCAGCGAGCCCATCCCATCACCCTGTCATTGGCTGCAGTGTCTCAGCAGGGCCTCAAGAAATGCCTGCCCTCAGCCCCTGAGGTCTGCTCCTGGCATTCTCTTCTCATTGAGGCTGGGGCCAGGTGGGGAGGGGGCGCTCAGACCCCAGGAGCTCTAGGAGACACTGGCTGAGTCCTGGGATCCTGTCTCAGCATCGGGGACTGAGAGGGCTGTGCCAGCCCCTGGGCCCTTCTGCCTGGAAGGGGCCTACAGGCAGGTAGGCTAGGAGGGGACAGGTGGGTCTACGCCTGTGTCCCAGCCCTAACACCAGGCATGACCTGGGGAGGTCACAGATTCTCTAAAGCCTCAGGGACCTCCCTGCGCCCTTTCACATCTTACTTAATCCCCAGACAACACAGAGGAAGGGGCAGTTAATGCTCCCCATTTTACAGACTAGAGGGCTGAGGTTCTGAGAGGGAAGCTAGGCCACCCTCAGGCCAGGCTGCAGCGGGTGTCCATGGAGCGGGGCCTGCTGCTGAGCTGATACCCCTTTTCTGCCTCCAGCATCGAAGGGGAGTACGTCCCAGTGGAGGGTGACGAGGTGACCTACAAGATGTGCCCCATTCCGCCCAAGAACCAGAAGTTCCAGGCCGTGGAGGTGGTGCTCACCCAGTTGGCCCCACACACTCCCCATGAGACGTGGTCCGGCCAGGTTGTGGGCTCCTAGGCTGGGCAGGGAGACCCCAGGGTGGACAGGCAGCAGCCAGCTCCATGCCCCGGGGCACTGGCTCAGTCCCCTGGGTGGCCCATGTGCACGTCTGTCTGTCTGTCTGTGCTTGTGGCCATGCGTGTGTTCCTCTATCCAGCCCCGTGACCTGTGACTGTTGTGTGAGCTGGACTGAGGGGGAGGCCACCAGATCTGCCTTCTCTGCTTGTCCACTCTCTCTCTTTCCTCCCTTCCCTACCACACTGGCACAGGACCTCATCTCAGTGGGGCCCCCTGTCCATGTGTCCACTAAACCTCCGAGGGCCTGCATCAGGCCAGGGGCTGAGTCGGGGCACCCCCCGGCCCTATGGGAACAAGCTTCTCCCCTGCCTCGGCCTGAGGCCCTGGCCTGGGCCCGGGCCAGACTCTGCTTGTGTTACACCCGCCCCTGGGCCAGGGGCTCTTGTGGTGGCCTGGACCCCACCCTCAGAAGCCAGGCCAGTGAGCACTTTGGGGGGCCTCCCAGCCTCTGGCAAGGAAAGAGGGAGAAAGGTGGAGGCCGGAAGGCCCTCTTCGGTGCCAGCCCAGCCTGCCTTCCTCCTGCTCTCTCCGCATACACTGTACAGGCAGGAAAGGGGCCTGCGGCGGACGGCAGTGGGGGCTCATTTTGCTGGCCATCCCTCCTCCTCAGCCTGGCAGTGGCTCTGTGAACCCCAAACTGAGGTCCCATCTTCTCCCTCGGGCCACGCCGAGTCATGCTGCCTCCATTTCTCCAGGAGGCTCGGGTCTGTGGAGGGGTGGATGCGTCCCCAAGTTTGGATTTAGGCCTCCCCTTTCCCTGACGCACAAGCTCCACTAACACTCTGCCCATGTCCAGCACAGTGGCTGCTGAGGACCTGGAGGGGGATGGACACACGTCCCCTCAGGCAGGCCAGGTGGGGGCACCCACAAGGATGGCCCTCAGCCTGGGAGCCCACCCCTTGCTGGACCCACTTCCCAAAGCTGTGGGACAACGGCTCCCACTGGCCCGCACCAAGCCAGTGGGTGAGTTATGGTCCCTATGTTGTCCATCCCTTAAGGTGCGTGTTGTGTGCTTGTGTGTGTTGTGTGTGTATGTGTGTGTGTTCCGTACATTCACTCTTGGACCGGGTTGGCCTGGCCTGGGAGGCCAGCAAGGAGGGCTTTCCCTCCACCCCCACCCCCTTCCAGAGCGCATCATCTGGTGGGGACTGAACTGGGGCTTATGGGAGGGCCTGCAGGACAGTGACCCTTAGAGACCCAGTCTGTGAGTAAATGGGCTCAAATGTCCAAGGTGAGGGGCCAAGGACTGTCTAGGATTCCCAGCCCTGAAGATGCCCCAAGACTCCAGGGTAGAGATCAGCTGGGATGTGTCCCACCCCTGCCCCCAGTCCCCATCACAGAGGCTGGGAGCCTAGAGCTGCTGAGATGTGCTGGCCAGCCACCCAAAATTGAGAATGGCCCAGCCTGACACCCCATTCTGAGCTGGGGCTACTCTGGCCTGAGGCCTTTTCCTTGGGGAACAGGATCCCTGGCCTCTTTGATAGGTTTATTGGCACAGGTTAACTCCTGGAGTCCCTCAAGATCTCCTCTTCTGTGAGTGGACCCCCTTTTTCAGGCACTGGCAAGGAGGCAGGATGTGGAGACATCAGCCCTGGGACCACCTGGGGTGGCAGAGGGGAAGTGGCACTCCTGTCACTCATGGCCCTGCAGTGTACAGTCACAAGCCCTCCCAAGCCCCCAGCCACCCGGACTCCCCGATCCTTCCTAACACTGGCAATAAACCCTCAACTGTGACTCAGCCTAACCCAGAGCTACCTGTCTGTCCAGGTCCCAGGGGAAGGGCTGGGGGAGGACACCCCAAACCCCCTCCTTGACTGGATCAAAGACTCTGTGTGACCTGGGGCAAGTTCCTGCCTCCTGTGCCTGTTTCCTGGCTTGCAAAGAGGCGGCTGTAACACATCTGTGACTGGCGCCAATGATCCATTCAGACAGAACTGACGCCATGCCTTGTTGTGGGAACTTTAATACTTGTGATAGAGTTCTTACAAATACATGCCCTCCCCATTGCTCTGCACCCAGACTGCAACAGGAAGGCAGGGCGGGCTCTGTCTTGCGCCAACACTCACACACACCTCCTCCGGTGTGGAGAGAAACCTGTCCTGTTCAGAAGTACAAGCAGCAGCTATAGCCAGGCCCACCAGGAGCTGAATGCTGGCGACAGTCGTCACACAGGCCCTGGCCTTGTCAAGGTGGGCCTCACAGCAGGTAATGTGAGACAGGCGTCCTGAGTGCCCCTTAGGCCTGGGTGGAGGTCTTTGGGAGTCAGGGTCAGGCCTCATGGGCTGTCTCTGGGAAAAAGATCTCTCGACATCGCTGCACTGTGTCCTCGGGGGAGACCACGCTGTGGCCCACAGTCCGAGGGTCGGCGTAGATCTCAAAGTCGTTCCCACCCTGCACACACAGAAGGCAGTGCCTGGACAAGGTTCCCAGGGTTGGGGCCCAGCACCCACCCTGGCATCAAGTCCCCTCCCTACACTGGCTCCTGCAGAGCTGCCCCCTCAGAACATCCAGAAAGCCCTCCTCCTTGGCCTTTATCAGGTCTGCCCTGACTTGCTATGTGACATGGGGCAAGTGTCCAGCCAGCTCTGGGCCCCAGACTTCCAATCTGTGTAATGGGCTGGTGAGCACTGGCTGTTCTCTGGGAGTCTCCTAAGAGATCTATTCTGTCACCCTGGTCTTGACCTGGGGGTGACCTGGATCGGGAGGGACCTGGGCTGAGGCACTCACAGGGCTGGTCTCATTCCCGAAGAAATGGATGGTGTCGAAGCTGTCCTGGTCCAGGCTATCTAGGCAGTAGCGTTTGTCCCAGCCCTCAGGGAAGACATCAAAGCTGATCATGCCTCCTGCAGGGTCGGGGCGGACAAAGCCAGCAGAGGGGTGGCTCAGGAGTGAGCTTGAGCAAGGCCCTTCGTTCTTCATTTCCTTCAACAACCCTTGAGTGCCTACTGAGCCTGCGCACAGGGCATGGGGCAGACAGACTCGGGACCCTTGTGGGAGTTTTTATCCAGGTGGGAGAACAGGCAGTAAACAGACCAGACTACCTCAGAGCATGAGTCAGTGGGGCGGGAGGCGGGTTCTCTAGCCAGTGTGGTGAGGGGAGACCTCTTGAGGACGTGACACTGAGCTGAGGTGTAAGCCAGAGTGGCGATGGCTGGGGAGCAAGTACAGTCCCGAAGGCAGGTAAAAGCGTGGTGTCCCAGGGACAGAGAAGGCTGGGAAAGGGCAGGGTGAGGGCATGTAGGTCCTGGGGTTCAGGGTTTCATTAGGAGAGTGAGGAGGAGCCACTGGAGGGCTCTGAGCAGGGGTGTGACGTGGTCTGTTTCTCTGTAAGGACCCCTCTGGCCACTGTGGGGAATGGGCTGAAGGTGGAGGCAGTGGGAGACCAGTGCACTGTAGTTAGCCAGATGGAGCCTGGGACAAGGCTGTTGGCAGTGGAGGCACAAGCAGTGGTCAGATTCCAGAAGCATTCCTGACACAGGGCCTAGGACTCGCTAGCAGACTGGATGTGGGGAAGGGTGAGGGAGAAAACTCAGGGAGACGCTTCAGTTTTTGGCTGAGCAACTGGGTGGGTGGTGGGGTGCTGAATGGGTTTAGGTGGGGAAAACTGGGGGCCATACATATGGAGTCCCTGCCTGCTTGGGCTGAGCCTGCCCCTGCTCTGCCCAGAGTGGTGGGAGTGCAGCCTGGCCTTGGGAGTGAGGCTCTGGCCAGGACTCCCAGACCCTTGTGGGGTGGACATACCTCGGGAGAACCTCAGCCCTTTGCCAGCAAATTCAGTTTTCAGAGCTTCCACAAACTTCTCCCTGATCTTCTCTTTCTGCAGGAGGGAAGGAAGCAGACCAAGGTTCAGGCTGCTGTGTGCCAGGCCCTGTGCTGGGCACACAGTTTGTGTGAACTCTCTAAGTCTTCCAGGTGGATATCATGACCCCCGCTTGACCGATGGGAAACTGAGGCTCAGAGAGGGGCTGTACCTGCTCAAGGTCACGCAGCCTCAGTTGCAAAGGCAGGGCCTGAACCCAGAAGGTCTATGGCTGAACTCAGGGCCAGATCCTGACAGTCGGGGTGTGGGTGGGGTATTCTGGAGGACACCTTGGAGTAGAGGCTAAAGAAGGAAGGTTGAGGGGAAAGGGCAGTCTGAGTCCCAGCCATGGAGTCCACCTCATTCCTGCCAGCTCTGCCCAGTTCAACAAAGCTCACCGTGGCTCAGTCAACAGAAATGAGCGTGAGGAGTGAAGAGCATGTGAAGACCTGTGAATAGTGGCAGTGGGTGCTCAGAGAGAGGTCAGCAGGATGCCAGGCATGGCCATAGCACCAGCCATACAACCACATTCATTTGCTGAGCACCTCCTTAGTGCAGCAGGCTGGGCTGGCTGGGGGATTCAGCAGTGCCCAGGAGGCCCCAGCCCCCCACCCCTCTGGGAAGGGCCTTAGAAGTCTGCAGCATATCTACACACATGGAGTAAGGAGACTTTCACTCACCAACCTGGCCCTGCTGGGGCCACAGAGGGGAACAGCCATGCTGAACCTGGAGGGGCAGCCGTCTCGGCTGCTGCAATAATTAATGGGAGCCAGTGCCACAGGAATGGTTGGCTCACTCAGCGCAGGCTAGCTATGGCCGAGGCACGGAGGTGGGCAGTCCCCAGGTGGCCAAAGCAGCAGTGAGCGCTTGGCAGGATGATCAGCTCACAGAGTCTGGAGGCCTGGTTGGGGAGTTTGGACACATCCTAGGGACCAAAAGCCATTGGGGATTTCAGAGCACGGGAGTGCAGTGCCTCATGCTGCGTTCTCATCAAAGAGTTGGGTGGGACTGGAATAGAAAGCGAAGCAGGCAATGGCTGGCGGTTTGGAACCTAGAGAAGTGGTCCATGGAGGAGGACATGAGCTATAAGGCCAGATGTGACCCAGCTGAAGAGATAAAGGCAGCTACCTGGGTTCCAGGTCTGGCTGCTGTGCTGCTTCCTGGTTGTATGACCATGGGCAAGTCACCTAACTTCTCTGAATAAATGCTCCCAATGGCCCTGGATGGCTGTACCTTCTGGCTCTGGAGAACCAGATTGGTCACTAGACAGCCCCATGTGCCAAGTCCAGCTTCAACAGGGACTAGCACTGTGACCTCTGGACTCATATCCTCATCTAAGGGGACAAGCTGTCCTCGGGATCTGAGGGACTAAAGGAGAGTAAAGCATTTGTATGGGCCCTGGACTGGTGGAGGGCACACAGGAGACCAGGAGGTCCACGCCCCTCTCCAACACCAGGCGCAGGCGAACAAGAGCCAAAGAGAAGTGGAGACCCTCCTTGGAGTTGTGGGGAGTTAGGGTTGCCAGGCCTCCTTCCCACCTAGCTCTCGTTACAGCCCCAAAGACGGGAACTATGATGCTCCCACTTTACAGATGAGAAAACAGAGGCACACAGCAGTGAAGCCACAGTTCCAGGTGACTAGGCAGATAGAAGGAGGAGCTGGGATTGGACATGTGGGTAGCCTGAGAAGGTGCCACCTTCACTCTCACTGTGTGTGTGGGAGGGGGTTCTGTTGCCAATGGTAAATCTTAACTACTCCAGAAGAAAAGTCTCCATGCTCTGGGGCACTGTCTACTCTAAGCCTCTGAGAGTCCCACCTACCCTAAGGGAAGGTGGGACAGTAAGCAGGGTCTCGGGCAAATCTTTGTTCTGCAACCAATTCCCAATTTCCTATGTGACCTTGGGAAAGTCACTCGCCCTCTCAGAGCCTCATTTCCTCATTTAGAAAATGGGGATAATACCACATTGGCTGGTGTGGCTCAGTTAGTTGGAGCATCATCCCATGCACTGGGAGGTCATGGGTTTGATTCCCTTCAGGGCATATACCCAGGTTGTGGGTTTGACAGTCGGTCAGGGCACATACGAGAGACAACCAATTGATGTATCTCTCTGACATCAATGTTTCTCTCTCTCCCTGTTCCTCCCTCTCTAAAAAGAAATAAATTAATAATAATAAATAAAACAGGGAAAATACCACCTATTTCACTCATTCAAAAAGTATCTCTTGAGTACTTGCTACGTGCCAGGCCTGTGCTGGGCACAGCGGAGTCAGCAGTGAAGAGCCACAGAAACCCTGGCCCTGAAGGAGCTTACAGCTTTGGTGGGGGAGCCAGACAATATGCAAGATTTAAAAAGCAGGTGAGACAGTGTGTTAAAAGGGTGGCTGCTTGGGGAGAAACCAAACAGAGGAGTAGGAGGTGCAAGGGGACAAAATGTTAAATGCAATGCCGGGGGATGGCCCCACTGAGAAAGTGATACCTGAGCAGATGCGAAGGAGGTGAGAGGATGAGCCGTGTCTGAGGACACAGCCCTGAGGTGGAAGACTGCCTGCTATCTTACAGTGGGCAAAGAGGACATGGCCGGAGTAGAGGGCGTAAGGGGGAGAGCAGGTCAGGTCAAAGAGGACAGGGACAAGCCAGTGTGAAAAGGCTTGGCCGGATGGACTCGCTCCATCCTGAAAGGGAAGGGGTGGGAGGTGAGGGTGACAAGCAAAATGCAAGTAAAAGTTTAGCAGGGGCAGCACATCCAAAGGCGAGAGGGACCTTGGCATGTCCTAAGCACAGATGCAGAGAGAAGGCTGAAGAGATGGGCTCGAGCCAGGCAGACCCTCTCAGGGCTCAGGCACCATGGGAGGTGGCTGGGACATTGCCCAGTTGGCAAGGGGGTCACAGAAAGACTGTAAGCAGAAAGTGGACAGAGAGGACAGATGTGACTTACAAGGCTCTCAATGGCATTGCTGGAGAACAGGCTGGGTTTATGGTGTGTGTAAGGGACACACACAGGTGAGCGGATCTGAGGCCAGCTCCAGAGATTGAACCCACAGGAGTGATTGTTGGGCCCTATGTGGGTGGGAAGGTGTAAAAGGTGCCCAAGGTGTGAGCTTAGGAAATTAGGTGGCTGGTGATGTCAGTCTCCAGGCGAGGGAAAACAGCAATGTTGGAAACATGTACATGTGCACACTCCCCCACCAATCCATTTCACTGATGAGAAAATAAAGGCTCAAAGAGGTTGAGTGACTGAGGCCCTACAGCCTAAGGAGGCACCTTGTCCAGTTCAGAGAACTCGATCCGCTCCTCCAGGGTGCAGCTCCGGCCGATGGGCGAGATGTTCAGCATGCCATTCCGAAACTCGATGAAGGTTCCACTGGTGGTGATGGGGATGGGAGGCAGAGAGACGGAGAGAATGGCCCTGAATTCAATCCAGCCCTATCTGGACTTCACAGGGGGCAAGAATCCACCCACCAATAAGTCAGGGCCAGAGCATTTCCAGGTCCCATTGAAGAGACCCACCCCATTCCTCCTCAGGCCAAGAACTGGGAGGAGGGGCTGGACACAAGGCTGAGTGGGGTCTCACCGCTTCTTGGGCAATCTGAGCAGGGCCATGTAGCGGAGGCAGAAGTTGATCAAGTCCTGCAGCAGTTCCTCCCCTAGGTGGTTCTGGATGGTCTGGGCAAAGAACACAGAGCTCTGAGTGTGGGCACAGTGCTACTCCCCCCACTCCCCAGGACAGAGGCATCATGGACTGTCTCACTGTGGAAAAATGTCCTGGGCTAAGACCCTAAGGGGAGTACTGACCTGCTTGGAGAGCAATCGTCCATGCTTATACTGCACTGTCCCATTCTCGGCAAACACATAATCAAACTTCTCGATGACTTCAGGGAAACGGAGAGGCCAGGGGAGAAAGAGAGAGCATAGGATCAGGTACCCAGAGCCAAGGAAAGAGATGAAGCCCACACTTCTTGGTTTGGCATTCAAAGCCCATTAGTTCCATCCTGAGCCTGCTTTTCTGTACTTCTCATCTTCTGCAGCTTTGGTTTTTTTCCAAAAAAGCAAAAAAGCCAGTCACACCTCTAGGCCTTTGCTCATGCAGGTCATTCTGCCTAGAATGTCCTTCCCGTCCCTTCCCCTTCTACTCTAAGACTAGCTCCCTCCTCTGAAAGCTTTCCAGGACTGCCCAGCAGAGGGCGTCATTTCCACTTGGTGCTACCACAGTTCTTTTGCACATGGGTTTCCATGTTGTCAGGGCTGGTTGCATGAGGGAATTTTCAACTCTGGCTACCCCAAGAAATTGCTGGAGTAGGCAGGAGTGGAGAGGTGCAGGGAACACAGCCAGAGGCTGTTGGAGGGTGCAGATGGAAGGTGATCACCTGGGACATATTTCTGGACTGGCTGATGGAATGAACAGGTGGGAAAGGGGAAATTCAAGGAAGTTTCTGGTTTGAGGAGCTGGAGCATCTGCCTGAGCTAAGATCAGGAATTCAGCTGAGAACAGGGGTTCTGTGTCCAAAAACTTCCTGGGTGACTTCAGAATCCTCCTCTGTGAAATGGGATAATCATGTCCACCCTGAAGCACAGTTGTGAGGATTAAATGAAAGAAAGTTAACACATGGTCATGTTCAACAAATGGTAGCCATCATTGATTATGCCCATTTTAAAGATGAGGAAATAGAGACTCACCAGGGAGAACTGAGAACGTAAACTAGATAAGGGTAGGATTCTGCCTGCTTTGTTCCCTGCTGTTTTTCCAAAAAAAAAAAAAAGCCTGGCACAAAGTAGATACTCACTAAAAGGTGGTTGAAACAGTAAGGGTAACATCTGGCTGTTCCCTCTACTTCCTTTGTCCCACAGAAGCAGGACAGGGTCTTTAAAGGCACAATGGTCCAGGAATCTCCCGAACTTCCCACCCCCATACCCATCCCGACTATGGGACTATGGAGCTGGCTCTGGCCTGCTCCTCCTACCTTCATCCCCCTCTCCCAGCTGCTCAGCAATCTTAGAGTAGTCCGAGCCGCCCACCACACCGATCTGCACCCTACTTCGAAGCTTCTGCAGGAAGGCAGCCACCTCAGGGTCAATTTTCTGCAGCGGGGCAGGGAAGCACAGGATTCTGGCTGTCAGCATGTCTGAGGCCTCCACCTAGCCCTCACTCAGTGCTCAGAATCCAGGGAGCCCATGTTCCACCTGGATCTGAGGCAGTTCAAGGTTTAGAACACAAATCTTAAAAAATCAGTTGCACTTGGGTTCAAACTCTGGCTCAAGTCCCTCAATAGCAGGATGACCTTGAGCAAATGGCTTTGCCTTTGCCTTCTTTGTCCCATCTATAAAATGGGGATCACAGTAGCAACACCTGGGGGGGGGGTGTCACTGTTAGGACGTGCTTGGCAATGAACAAGCAATTAATTGGAGACTGATTACGTGAAAAGATTCCCCACCAAGGAAATTAAACTAATGAGTTATAACCCATGTTTTCAAACAGCTAGATATTCAAAGCTGACAATATCAAGAGTAGATGACGATACAGAGGAAACAGGCATTTTCAAATGCTGCTGATGGGAGCGTGAACTGGTACAGCCATTTTGGAGGACAATTTGGCAAGATCTATTAAAACTTAAAATGCACGTGGTCCCATCACCCAGAATTTCCACTTCTCTTGCCCATGTGTATATGGAGGTTCATTGAGGTATGGCTTATAATAGTGGAAAATTGCAAACAACTTACATGCCTGTCAATCAGAATGGCACACACCTGCTCTGAAATAGTATACTGTGGTTACACAGAATAAGGCAGGCCTGTACTTCAGACATGGGAGAGTCCCAAGACATGGTAATTGTCAAAAGCAAGTTGCTGACCCTGGTTGGGTAGTTCAGTTGGTTAGAGTGTAGTCCCGATACGCCAAGGTTTTGGGTTCAATCCCCAGTGAGGGCACATACAAGAATCAATCAATGAAAGCATAAATAAGTGGAAAAACAAATTGATATTTCTCTCTCTAAAATCAATTAAAAAAAAAAAAACAAGTTGCAGGAAGGCACACACAGTATGATGTATGATACCACTGATTTTTTTAAAAAAGCCTTGTAAAACAACGCTTAATATTTCCTCTGGGCAAAGAGAGATCCAGATAGAGCTCTGGAAGGAAGCCACACAACAGGCAACCAGGTTACTTTGGGGAGAGGGTTGGATCCTGACATAGTCAGAGGGGTCTTTAGCCTTCTGTTGTTTTCATTCCTTACAAGAGAATGCATTCATGAATGCCTGTATAATTAAAAATTAACTTTCAAAAAGCACTAATGACAGGGCCTGGCAATAACACTGGTGGACAGCATTAACACACTTTTACAGGCTGCTGGGTCAGAGGAGCAAAGAATAAGAGGAAAGGAGTAAGAGGAAAGAGTAAGAGGCGCTCCTAGGCCCTGCCACTCTCTCTCCACTGTCAGCTTTCTCCCATCCAGGAGGACTCTGGGAGAGTTGCTGCAGGGCAGGGAGGCCTGATTCCTCCCTGTGCCCTCAGGGCCCAAGCCAGAGCCCTCCCAGAGGGGAGAGGATCGGGCTTATCCTACCTATGAGGGGACACTAAGACCTGTGTTCCCATCAGTTTCTGCCCTGTAACCCAGCCCCTGCTCTAGGAGATCCCTTAGTAGTTGTGGCTTCAGAGTAGTGGGTGGAGTACCCTTGTGGCCTCAGAGTAGTGGGTGGAGTACACTTAGGGCAGGCAAGAAAGAGGCCTGTTTATCCAAGCACCCAGCTGGTGAGGATGGGTCTGGGGGCTCATCCAGGGTGAAATCCAAAGGGAGAGAAACTGGGTGTGGAGCAGAGGTTGGAGGATCAACACGCTGCGACGCCTTTAGAAGAACTGCACTCCCACCTTCCCAGCGCCACAGTGTCCCCAGCGTGGCCAGGTTAGGCCTGGGAACTCTCAACTCCAGGTGGGCAGAGCCCAGACTCAACCGAAAAGGTATAGTAAGCCCTTCCTCCTTCCCTCCCCGCTGGGGGTGGGAAGGAAAGCGGAAGAGAGGCTTGAGACACTAGACCCAGGCCCAGGCCTGCAAAGGTCGGGTGGGGTGGTTCCGAGACCCCTTTGCCCCCACCAGGTGGGGTCTCTGACGCTTGGATGCGCTCCCAGTCCATCTGAAGCCCTGGGTTCAGACGCCGGCTTCCGGCTACCGGTGCGTCCTAGGGCTGAACCGGGAGAGCCGGGGCTCGGCTGCGTGAAGAAGCCAGGCCCCGCCCGCAGCCTCCGCCCTCCGGAGTCGACGCAGCCCGGATGCTCGAGGGCCGGCGGGCGAGGACGCCCGGGGGTTGTGGCCTGAGGGCCCGGTGTCCCTCCCTCCCAGCGGGCGGCCCCCCGGTGTCAGGGGCCGGGGACCCCTGCGTCTCACACTGGGTCTCCAAGGGCCGGGTCAGTCCGCCTCAGGCACCGCATTCGGCCTCCGGGTGTCCGCGTGACATTCCCGACCGGAGCTTCCGAACGTCTGGGCCCTACCTGGCGAGCGGGCGTGAGGGTCCCGTCCACGTCAAACAGGCAGAGGACGCGCTCCTTCCTGCGGGCGCCCTCAGCGGTCACAGCCATGGCTGCAGCTCCGGGCGGCCGGCGGAGTCGCGGGAGGCGGCCGCCCGAGCTGCGCCGCAAAGAGGCTGGATAGG